ATGTCATGTCCAAGCAGGCGATGATAAAAAGGCTGGTACCTGCTCGCTGGGACGGGGCAGGAGCAGGGCTTAGAGTGATCACAATAACTGGATGGGGAAAAGGAAGAAAAAAAAAACAATAGCACGATAAATCACAACAGAAACGACTGATTTGCCCAAAAGAAAAGAAAATCAAATCATAATGAGGAGGAGGGGAAGGGAGACGCAAGGCTCCAAACGACAGAGATGGGTAGGAAACTGGCAGAAATGGAAGGGCGGGAGGATGGGATGGAGCTGACAGACACAGACGCCTGGAGGGGGGCTCCTAGGGACCTGCCTGCCATGGGCCTCACCAGGCCTTGCTTTGCACTGGTGACTGCCACCTCTTCTGACCCCCCAGATCCCACACCCTGAACCATCTATGCAGGACTGGGGAGAGGAGCCCTGCAGAGCTCAGCAGGGACCCTCCAAGTTTTTTTTTTCAGGATTCTATTCCACCCAATATTCAAATGATATCACTTTTACCTCTGGAATCTCTCTAGGACCCCCCACCCCGGCAAAGGTCTCCCCAGAGAGGAACACAAGCAGACTCAGTTCAGACGGAGGTATGGGAGTGAATTAGAAAGCTGTAAAAGTCAGGCTAGGGACATGGGAGATGCCTTCCTCCTCCTGTTCAGATGGCTCCACAGTAAACTATACAAACTCCAAAGATTGTATCACAGGAGACATTGCAAAGTGTTTTTTTTTCTGTAACAAGAAAGGGTATTGGTGGCTTATGCCTGTAATCCTATCTGCCTCAGGAAGCTGAGATCTGAGGATCATAGTTGGAAACCAGCCTGGACAGGAGAGACTCTTATCTCCAGCAAAAAATCCGAAAATGGAGTTATGAGTTGAGCAGTAGAGCAGCACCAGCCTTGAGAACAAAAGCTAAAGGAAAATGCCCAAGCCCTGAGTTCAAGCTCCAGTACTACAGAGAGAAGAGAGAGAGGAAAGAAGAAAGAGGAGAGAGGAGCAAGGAGAGAGGAAGAGAGGGGAAAGGGAACAGGGGAGAGACAGAGAGACACAGAGTGTGTCATGGATAGAATTGATCACAAGGTTCTGGGCTAGGGGTGTGCGTCTGTATGGATGGACAGGGAAACAGACACAAAGATGATAGGATCAGAAAAGAAGGGAATGTTTGCTCACTGGACTCAGATACAGTCACACCAGCCTCAGGGGTCCCCAGGGTGTGAGAGGAGGGGAAATTCACTGGAGTCCAGAAGACAAAGTTACCATGCTGGAGAATACTGGGATGTGTTTCTAGAGATCTAGCCATATGGAAGGGTTGAAGCTTGTCACAGGAGTATAAAGGGCCTGGTATACACAGGGTGTGTGTGTGTGGGGGGGGGAGGCCCGTGTCCTGCTGAGCCTAACGACAAGGTCACCACCGCAGGCTGGGGAAAACGATCTCCAGAAATGATCACAGGAATCAAATGGGAGAATCCTCAGGGAATTTTATATGTGGGTGCAGACTGTATGTGGCCAAGTGACCGTAGGTGTCCCCACCCCCCTCCCCATCCACTAGATGAGAGGAACCCAGGCCAGACCAGGGGGTTTCTTGACCTGGTCTGATCTGAGTGGAATCACTGGATCAAAAGGGATGTGTGACTGTGTTTGCCAGTAAGAGCTGGTGGCGGTCACGGTCGTGCGGGGTCAGAAAGCCCGGTTCAGTGCAGGCGGCGGAGGATCTCTGGATCGCGGCGATGGGGGCGGGTCATCAGGGTGGGGGAGGGGAGGGGTCTCTCCTGCAGCCCAGTCACTAGGCCCCCAGACTCCAGGGCCCAGAAAGCCCGTCCTGGGGGGGGGGTTCACCGGGCCCACACCCCCTGGGTCACCGTGACCCTCTTCCCCACGAACCCACAGCGGGAGAGGGGACAGGAGGGAGGAGTGCGAGCGCCCCGGAAGCGGGGGCGGGGCCTGCGGCGGGGGCGGGGCCTCCCGCGGCCCGCCCCGCCCGCCCCCTCCCCCACGCCGCCGTGCTTACTGGGCCTGGTCCGCTGGGGGCTGATATCCAGGTTGAGGTCAATCCTCCGCCGGGCCTCGCGATTCTCCTGCTTCAGTTTTGCTTCTAGGCGGGACAGCTTTTGCTCCAGGGAAGACGCCGCCATCTTCCCCCCCGGCCGCCGCCGCCGCCGCCGCCGCCGCGCACCGCCGGGCCACCCGTCAGTCGGCAGACAAACACCGCACTGCGCCTGCGCCCGGATGACCCCGCCGAGCCGCCGTCTCGCCCTCCACCACGCATGTCCCTGGCTCCTACCCGCCCCTCCGGCTAGCGAATCTCCGTACGCTTGCGTACTTGATCTCAGGCTGAGAGATGACGCCACCTACCGCTCGTGGCTGGCAATGTGCAACGCCTCCACCCACCACCACGCATACGGTGGTGCGCATGCGCACCAAATCCCTAACGCTTCAGTGTGAGGCGCTGCGTGGAAATCCACCAGTCTTTAGGGAGCGGTGGGCGGGGACAACGGCGCGCAAGCGTGCAGAGGAGAGACACGGCTTCTACTGCGTCTGCGCGCCCTCCACGCCCCGGGCGTGCGCTGCTGACGTTACCTGTGTTGTCTCCACTGCTGGAGTGTTTCGAAGCTTCTTCGTTGGTCCTCCCTGCCTGGTACTCATAAAACTTCCTTTCTTGTCTCTGAGGGTGCCTCATTAGGATCTCTGTTATGTTTAATTGCTGCCTGATTCCCGGTGGCGCCTCCTTGCAATAATTAGGCAACCGTGGGAAGCCCTTTCCATGTTGGCCAGGCTCCAGCAAGCTCTGACTTGGCCGAGGCCTGGCAGGAGGGATTCATCTGCGGTGACCCCAGACTTCGGTGACAGGGTCAGGGTCAAGGTCAGGGCAAGCCTTCGTGGCCAGACCTGTATGTAGGACTCTAGGACACCCCACTTTTCTACCTGTTCTTTGCTGAGAATGTGAGCTCAGCTCTTGGATGTGCAGAATCGGTGTTTGTGTGGGGGTGGGGTGCTGGGCCTAGGTGCTGTCCGTTAGCTTTTGTGCTCAAGGATAGCACTCTACTACTCGTGTCACGGCTCCATATCCAGCTTTTTGATGATTAAGTGGAGATAAGTCTCATAGACTTTTCAGTCCAGACCAGCTTTGAATCATGATGCTCTCAGGTCTCAGCCTCTTGAGTTGCTAGGATTACAGTTGTGAGCTATTGGCGCCTGGCTGAATCAGTGTCTTGAAGATGGCCTCTGGGGTTAATGCTTTTACCTGGTGCCACACAACCGAAACAGCAACTGTTACAGGTTCTTTTAGTCGAAAGAATGCCAGGGGAGATGTCTTCATCTGAACCTGGGTCCCTGAAGAGCAGCTTATCTCTACCCTTAGATGCCAAGAGGCAGAGATTCAACAGGTGATCAAACCCCAAGTGATCAGGGTGTGCCATGTGCTCTGACCATTCTGGGGACCAACATAGGAATACCTTGGGTTTGCCTTTTTTTTTGTCAGTCTTGAGGCTTAAACTTGGCCTCAACACTGTCCCTGAGCTACTCAGCTCAAGGCAAGTGCTCTACCACTTGAGCCACAGCGCCACTTTGGAGATGAGTTTTGTGGACTTACCTGCCCAGGCTGGCTTTAAACCGCGATCCTCAGATCTCAGCCTCCTGAGTAGCTGGAATTACAAGTGTGAGACACTAGCACCCAGCTTTGGGTTTGCCTTTAAAGGCTTATTTGGACTTCTCCAATGACTTGGGTAGAGCTGACACATGTATGGACTTAAAAGGATAGCAAGGCTCATGTCTGTAATCTTGGCTATTTAGGAGGCTGAGATCTGAGGATTGACATTCAAAGCCAGCCTGGGCATGAGTCCATGAGACTTACTTCCAATTAAACAGCAGCAGGGAGCCAGTGGCTCACACCTGTAAATCCTATTCAGGAGGCTGAGATCTGAGGATCATGGTTGGAAGCCAGCCCAGGCAGAAAAGTCCATGAGACTATCTCCAATGAACCCCCAGAAATCTGGAAGTGGCACTGTAGCTCAAAACGATACAGCACTATCTTTGAGGGGGAAAGTGCAGGGACAGCGCCCAGGCCTTGAATTCATATTCAATTTGACATAACTGACAAAAACAAATACATAAATCTAGAGTTCAAGCCCCAGGACCTGTGTGTGTGTGTGTGTGTGTGTGCGCACACACACACACATCAAAAACAATAAAACCATGGGAGGCCAGTTGTCTGGTTCATGCCTGTTATCCCAGATGCTTGGGAGGCTGAGATCTGAGAATTAGTTTGAAGCCAACCCGGGTAGGAAAGTCCTTGTGACTCTCATCTCCAGTTAACCACCAAAAAGCTGGAAGTGAAACTGTGGCTCAAATGGTAGAACGCAAAAAAAAAAAAAAAAAACTGCTTAGAGACAGCACCCAGACTCTGAGTTCAAGCCCCAGGACTGGAGCACACACACACAAAAGAGGAGGAAAAGGGATTCTCTAGTAATAAGGCAGATTTAATGGTATGTCTACCTTGTTGCCCTTTCAAGCTGCCTTCGGTGCCTGTCCTTCCCAGAATCGACTCAGTTTTGATTCTGACAAGCAGGTGTTAAAACTGAGCATGTGAAACAAAAGACTTAAATAATGATAGGAATGCACATAGAATTACAATTCTCATAATTAGTATTTATTAAGTGCACCCTGGTCTATGCTCCCCCCCACAGGAACAGCCCAAAGATAAAGTCCCTGCATGGCCTTAGATAAGTGTAGCCTCCATAGCAGGTGATCTTACCTTGAGGAAATCCATGAGAAAACCTCTGGAGGTTATGTTTGCAGTTTTATGTGTTGCTTTAAGCATTTCCAGAGGAAAGAAGTGCTCAGTGTCTTGAGAGTCTTAAAAGGTCTAGAACTGAAAATGGGCCTCGGAACCCAAACATTCCAAAATCTATCCTCTCCCTTTCCCTCTTTCTCTTTTAGCAGTGCTGAGATTTGAACTCAGGGCCTGCTTGCTAGGCAGGTGCTATAACATTGGAGACACTCTCCCCCCCACCCCCAAGGCCTTTTAAATTTCATACTTTTCAAATAGGTTTTCACTTTTTTGCTCAGGCTCTTCGGAACTGTGATCCACCTGTTCATGCTTTCTGTGTTTCTAGGATGCCAGGTGTACCACTATGCCCAGATTTTTATTTGTTGAGATGGGATCTTGTGAATACTTTTGCCCCAGCTGGCCTTGAACCATGATCCTCCTGATCTCAGCCTCCCAACTAGGTAGGATTACAGGTGTGAGCCACTGTACCAGACTTTGACATCTCTTTCCATCACAGATCAGCATTTCCATTATACAATTCCAGGACTACCTGCATTAGGAGTTACCTGGTATGCTTATTTACGAGCAGCTTCCTGGCCTCCACCCAAAACTCCTGAGTCAGTATTTCAGGGGTGTGGTTTGGGATGTTTTCTTTTATCCTAGCTATTCAGTTGGTTTTGACACATAGCCAAATATGAAATCCATTGTACTTATAAATAAGAAATTGGCATCAAAGTTGGGATAATAATGGGGGGGGAGTTTGTCCTTTGTGTTTGTGTCCCGTCCTTGAGAGAGAACCTCAGATGTAAGCCATGTTGTGTTAAGAGGAGGGAGGATGATTGGAAAATCCCACTGGGATGTGTCTCCACTCCCATCTATGACACTAATTAACTGGAATGTCCAGAGAGAGGGCAGGCCAGCTAGTCAAAGACACACAGGTTGTGGTTTTGAGCTTGAGAATGAGGTTCCACCCCAAATCCACAACTTCCTGCCTCTCCCCAGATGAACTAGTCCTAGGGTCTTGCCTGGGCTCCACATAGCTGACAAGACTGTCCATTGTCTTCTGGGTGGGCCCATCAGCCATTTCTCTTGGAAGACATTGGTAGGGCAGAGGCATCCAATAGGCCTCCACTTGAAGCTACCCCAGCCTAGCTTCATTCCTCCTCCATCCTTTCTCGCACCTCTGGGGGTAGCCCCTCATACAGGGTGTCTTCTACCAGCAACCCCCCTTTCTTGAGTCCTGTGCAGTTGCCAAGTTCTTCAGGCAGTGCCTCCAACCGGTTGCCCTTGAGTTCTAGGCGGCTGAGGGCCCTGAGGGCTGCCACGTGCGGGGAGAGCTGGCTCAGATGGTTGTAACCCAAAAGCAAAATCCGGAGCTTTCGACAGAAGAACAACTCTTCTGGCAAGGCCTCGAGGGCATTGTAGGAGAGAGCTAGGTGTTGCAGATTCTGGAGGAGGCCCACGTCTGGTGGTAAGGAACGCAGACCATTATGGGACACATCCAGTAAACGGAGACTAGAGCACAGGCCGAGCTGGGTGGGCAGTGTCTCAAGTTTATTGTGGCTGAGGTAGAGCTGTTCCAGGCCCCTGAGCTTCCTCACGTGTTCAGGGACGTAAGCGATCTGGTTGTGCCACAGCTTGAGGGTGACCAGTTTCCGACAATGCTGGAAACTCAGAATCTCCTCGATGGATCGCAGGTGGTTGTCCTGGAGGTCAAGTTCCTGCAGGGCACCTAAGCTGAAGATGGCATGGGGAATGCGTTCCAGTCCACAGGCCACCAGTTCGAGCTCCCGTAATACCACCAGCTTCTTGATGCTGTTGAGGGCGAGTAATCGGGCCCCATCATTATGTAAACTCAGTCGTTGTAGGTGTCCGGCTACATCCGTTACACTGGCTGGCACCTTTCCGGCATTGCTCCGGAGGGACAACACCTTGAGCTGCTTTAACTCCCGGAGACTCTCAAGAGTAGCCGCTCGAGCCAGCTCTGGAGCAAAGAGTCCCTCCAGGTGGAGTTCTTCTAAGCCACGCAGGCCAAACACCCAGAGGGGCACCTCACGGAGTTCCTCGCATTTCACGCACATCACTTTCAGGCGATCGCGCAGGAAGATCTGCGAGGAGAAGGGCAGCTTGGCGGGTGAATGGAGCAAACTGAGTTCCTGGAGGTTCACCAGCTGCGAGAGGCCTGGGGGAAAGGAGATATCACAGATGGCTTCTAGCCGGAGGGCCTCTATCTCACTGAGCTCAAACACAGTGTCAGGGAGCCCAGGGAGCATGCACAGAGCCAGCTCCAGGTGACCCCGGGCATTCCGCTGCAGCTTCTGTCGAAGCTTCTCTGGGGTCCACTCATGGTTCAGGTTGAGTTGCTTGAGACGGCTTTCACTGACCTCGGAGAGGAAAACGGCAAAACGCTTGGAATAGAGCGAGTCGTACTCGTCAATGAGGTGCAGCATGAAGGCGAAGTCATTCTTCACATCGGGGATGTCGTTCATTCCTGTGTCCTCCCGCACAGACCGGAAGGAATACTCTTTGAGGGGTCGGTGGAAGAGCCAGTAGAGCGTGTATAGGCAGGTGATGCCGTACACACACACGAAGGAGATGTAGCAGAAGGCCAGCTTGGAGAAGAGGTGAGCCTTGGTATGGTTGCAGCAGAAACTGGCATACCCAGTCACTTCTGAGGTCTCCACCCTACAGGCCACCAGGAAGCTGATCTTTTCCACATACACCAAGTTGTAAACCAGGATGGCAAAGAACTTGAACACTTTGAGTACTGTCTGCCGGATGTACATGGTGTAGAGGATGTCCCCCTCTTCCACGTGGACCCGGAACTTCTTGACTTTCTCAAACAAGGCTTTGGCCTGCTCACCTTCCTTCTTGTCTAACAAGGTGACAGCCGGAGGCTCAGTCACCACCTTCTCTGGTTCTGCCAGCACCTTCTCCTTCTCGCCCTCACCTGTCTTTCCTGGCCCTGGCCCTGCTGCGGCTGCCACAGTGGCCGTGGCCCGTCCAGCAGTGGGACCCTTATTGTTCTCTCCGGAGACTTCAGACAAGGCCCTTGTCGTCCATGGGGAATCAAAACACTTTCCCAGGATGGAGATGAAGTGTTCAATCTTGGAGCTGGTGCCAGGGAACTTGAACCAAAAGCTGGTACAGACCATGAAGATAAGTGTGTGAATGACAACCAGGTAGGGGAAATACTTAGCGTACCAGTGGAGAGCTGTCTCATAGCACAGCTGGTTAATGAAGCTGTACTGCTGAAGGTCCAAGTTGTTCTTGAGGCCGCTCAATTCCCGGAGGTCCCCCATCTGCTCAGAAACCCCCCGTGGCAGCAGCTGTTGGCATGGAGCCTCTGATAAATTCTCCCGAGGTTCATGGCTGGGCAGGCAGATGATCTTGTCCTGTGTTACCTGGGAACGAAAGGAGATAAGATGGGGGAAGAAAGTAAAGCTGAAAGTTAGGAAACCTTCATCTTGGATTACTGCCAGCCAGCTGACTTGAGAGGAGTTGCTAAGAAGTCTTTGAAGAAAAGACTTGGGTTGCTGGATGCAGTGATTCACGCCTATGATCCCAGCTACTTGGGAGGCAGAGGTTGGGAGCATTGCAATTTGAGGCCAGCTTGGGCAAAATGTTGGTGAGTCTCTACCATCTCCACCAGTTGCTGTATATAGTGGCATATACCTATCATCCTAGATAATCAGGACGCATCAGTAGGAAGATCTTAGTCCAGGCTCACCTGAGCAAAACCACAAGATAGTATTTGAAAATTAAAACTATATGTATATAAATACACACAAATATTATATATTATGTATGTTATATTAATATATTTATATTATATATATATATGGAATTAAGAGTTGATGTTGAGTTGTAACCTCACCCCCTAAAGATGTAGACGTCTCAACCCTCAATCCCTATGCATGTATATGATCTCGTTTGGAAATGGGATCTTTCCCATGAGTCCACTAGGGTAGACCTAGGACTGTGCCCTTATAAAAACGGGACATGCAGTCAGGTCCGGTAAGGGGATCAGAATTGGTCTGAAAGTGGGCTCGGGATTCGGCTTTTGAGTGACAGGAAGGCAGGTGGGGGTCCCACCCCTTTATGGCTCTGCCCTTCACTTACAGGTACAGTCCAAACCAATCATGACTATCCACAGGGTGAAGTCTAGCCCATTTGTGGCCCACTTCTCACCTGGAGGGTGTGGCCAAGGAACCAATCATGAGCATGGCCACTGTAAGGATATACCCCCCCCCACACCCCATTCCTTTGTGGCCACCCTCCTCATCTGAAAAGTGCAGCCAAGGAACCAATCATGACCATCCCCACAGTGAGGTCCCGCCCCTTCGTGGCCCGCCCCTTACCTGAAGGGTGCAGCCGAAGACCCCAATCATGAGCATGGCCACCGTAAGGTACTCAGCCAACACGTCCCACCAGGGCTTGAGCACTTTGAATGCTGGCTGCTGTTCTGTGAACTGCTTGAACTCTGCCACAGGGATCATCCTGCCTACAGAAAGCAGAGAAACAAGGAATCATGAGGTGCAGGGGTCCCGTCTGGAAGGACTGCCAGGGTTCCAGACATGGGCCTTGCTCCAGACCCTCTGCAATCCGCCTGTGAGCCGAGGGCCCCCTTTCCTAGAATTCACCTCCTTCTCAGAGCCAGAGAGCTTCTCCACGCTGGGACCTTCTGCCTGATCTTTCACAGTTCAGGAGAGACAGAGTGCGAGTCCCCAGTCTCTCTATGCAGCTTTCTCCTCATGCTAGGCATTGCCTTTCTTATTCTGTAGAAGAGACACCCCCAAAGCACTCTCTATCCACTATGTCCTGAGTCCAGTTCTTACCTGCACCTGACCAGGGTGTCCCAAGGCCCAGGACTTCCGGGGCGTTGGTTCCCCCACCCCCTCCAGGGGCGCTCAGGGCACTACCTCCAACTGGAAAAGCCGGCTGGAGCCTGGCTCTGCTCTGGTTACTGGGCCCCAAGGGTTAGGGAGTGGCCAGGTTGAAGGCCAGTCAGCCCTGGGGGCGTGTGTGTGTGTGTGTGTGTGTGTGTGTGTGTGTGTGTGTGTTCCTGTGTGAGTGATTGACCAGGACACCTGGGTTTCTAAAGGAGCTAGAGGTACAAACAGGAGACCTGGGCTCTGGGAGGGAGGGGGAGTGTTGATAACCTCTGGAAGATGGACACCCTGCCCCAGTGGAGAACTCTCAGGCTGACACCTAAGACTGGCAGGGTGACCGGCACAGGGCTGGGCGGCCAGGCTCCTGGGCTGCTGTCCCACTCTGTCTGTGCCTGGTTTCCTTTTCAACCAAGGTATTATTATGGAAGATAAAGATGGGCCAGGCCCAAGTCACACGTGGGCGTGGGGCACAGGCTGAAACTAGGCTGCCACTTCCTGAGGCTAGAGAGGATTGGAAAGAACAGTGGGGCCCGCCGTGGTCCCCTTTTGCCAGCATCTAAAGTTGTGCCAACATCTTTTGTCTGTGTGTGCGTGCGCACGTGCACATGCACGTGTGTGCGTGCCAGGACCAAGGCTTGATCTCAGGGCCTAGGTACTCTCACCTTTTTTGCTCCTGATTGGCTTTTTTTTTTTTTTTGGGGTCAGTCGTGGGGCTTGAACCCTGGCCCTAGGTGCTGTCCCTCAGCTCTTCGGCTCAAGGCTAGTGCTCTATCACTTGAGCCACACTGCCACTTCCAGCTTTTTCTGCTTCTGTGGTGCTGAGGAATCAAACCCAGGGCCTCATGCATGCAAGGCAAACACTACCACTAAGCCACCTTCCCAGCCCTCCCTCAGCTCTTCAGCTCAAGGCTAGCCTTCTACCACTTGAGCCACAGTACCACTTATGGCTTTTTCTGCTTCTGTGGTGCTGAGGAATCCAACCCAGGGCCTCATGCATGCAAGGCAAGCGCTCTACCACTGAGCCACCTTCCCAGCCCTCCAGGTTGGCTTTCTACCAGTTGAGCCACAGCTCCACTCCATTAGTTAATTAGATAAGAGCATCATAGTCTTTCTTGCCCTGGCTGCCTTGATCTTCAGATCTCAGCCTCCTGAGTTGCTAGGATTACAGGTGTGTGTTGCTAGGGCCCAGCTGACTACTATCTCTCAAACAGGCTCCTAGGAGCATTCCATTCTTCCTCTGATCAATGGTGGTTGGACCAGGAAGGGAATATCCGGGCCACGGGGCAGTGCCAATCTTCAGGGTAAGGAAACCCTGGTCCCCTGTTCTATACCTCAGCTAACAGCTCTGACACGTTCTGTCTCTTTCGGTCTCAACTGTACCCACTTTGGAGGGTCACTCCTGAGTGAGATCAAATTAGAGGTGGAGACTTTAATACAGGAAGCCGGCATCCACTCAGCAGGCAAGAGTCAGGCAGTTCACAACAATCAACTCCTCCCATCCCACCCCCTTTTTTCTGTGCCGGTCCTGGGGCTTGAATTTTGAGCCTGGGTGCTGTCCTTAGACTTTGTTTTTTCACGCAAAATGTATGCTCTACTATGGAGGCACAGCTGTGATTCCCGCCTTTGGCTGGTTAATTGGAGATAAGAGTTTGACAGATTTTTCCTGCCAGAGCTGACTTTGAACTGTGATCCTCACTTCTCAGCTTCTTGAGGAGCTAGAAATACAGGTGGGAGCCATTGGTACCTGGCTTAAATCGGATCCCTTAATCTGAGGCCCCCATCTCCCAGAGGGGAGATCTGTAGGCAACGGGATCAAGCACAAACATTCCTAAAGGTGGGGAGCAGGTCTTGGATTGCTTACTCATTGCACACCGTGGCTTGTCCTCCACTTCACATTTGCCCCTATCCTCTGCAAAAATTAAAAAAAAAAAACTAACTTCCACCATCAGCGTTTAACCTGATACAAATGAACCCATGGAAGCTGGGTGCTGGTGGCTCATCCTGTAATCCCAGCTACTTGGGAGGCTGAGATTTTGAGGATCAAGGTTCAAGGCAAGTGCAGGCAACCAGTTCATGAGATTCCTTCTCACTGGAGAGATATGTATGGTAGTGTCCATCTATCATCCTCCCTAAAATAGGTGGATCGAGGTCCAGGAATGGACACAGGCAGTAAGCAAGATTCTATCTCAGAAATAACCAGTGCAAAGCAAAATGACAACAACAACCAAAAAAACAAAACAGGGCTTGGAGTTAAGGCTCAGCAGTAGAGTGACTGTCTTGAATGTGAGCAGCCCTGATTTCAAATCTCATGCTGTAAGACACATACACACACAGAGAGGCAGGGACTAACTCTGCCCTGGCCACTTTTCAGGACAATGATCTTCCAATGATAGAAGTTCAGTCGCCTGCCTGCCTGCCCTCACTGCTGCACAATCACAGGCTAGAAGACAGAAAAGCTTAAGGATAAGCCTGTAGCTCCCAGGGGACAAGGTGTATACACAAAGATAATCGGAGGTGGGTCCAAGGGATTATCATTATCTGTCTCTATGACTCAAACTTGATCTTTCCGAACCTGCTATTACATTCCTCCAGACCAAGGCTGGCCATCTTCCCCCCTCCCCCAATCCCTTAGTGTCTGAGCAGAGCTGGAGGGATGGCTGAGGAGACAGGACTCATAGAACTGGGAGGGGGGACCACAAGCTAGGCTATCTGATGCTCTCCATGCTGAATCTGTTCTCAACTTTGGAAGCATGAATGTTAGAGCTGTTTTCTAGAATTGGAGTGGCTGATACTATAGAATTTGAGCCACAGCTCCTCTTCCTGCCATCTGGTGGCTAATTAGAGATAAGAGTCTCACTGAGGGCTGGGAAGGTGGCTCAGTGGTAGAGTGCATGAGGCCCTGGGTTGGATTCCTCAGCACCACATAAGCAGAAAAAGCTGGATGTGGTGCTGTGGCTCAAGTGGTAGAACACTAGCCATGAGCTGAAGAGCTGAGGGACAGCGCCCAGGCCCAGAGTTCAGGCCCCATGACTGGCAAAACAAAAGAGTCCCATGGACTTTCTTGCCCAGGCTGGCTTTGAACTATGATCCTCAGATCTCAGTCTCCTGGGTAGCTAAGATTATAGGCATGAGTCACCTGCACCCAGTTGCAAAAAATCTTTTTCTTTTGCCAGTCCTAGGGCTTGGACTCAAGGCCGGGTGATGTCCCTTAGTGAATTTACTCAAGGCTGGTGCTCTACAACTTGAGCCACATCTCTACTTCCAGCTTTTTGCTGGTTAATTGGAGATACAAGTCTACAGACTTTCCCGCCAGGGCTGGCTTCAAATAACAAGCCTCACATTTTAACCTCCAGAGTAGCTAGAGTTACAGGAATAAGCCATTGGCAAAAATAAAATAAAATAAATCTGTTACTCTTTCAAGAATCTTAGAGGTACTGGGTGCTGGTGGTTCACATCTGTAATTTTAGCTACTTAGGAGGCTGCAATATGAGGATTATAGTTATAAGCCAGCTTAGGTAGAAAAAAGTCTGTGAAATTCTTATCTCCAGTTAACTAGGAACAAGGCAGAAGTGGGCTGTGGCTCAAGTGGTGGAGCACTAATCTTGGACAAAAAAGCCAAGTGAGAGCAAGAGGTCCCTAAGTTGAAACCCCAGGATCAGCAGTCACACCTGCATGTGCACCCCCTCCTGCCCCCCCCAATTCCTAGAGGACTAGCCAGACTAGATCTTGTCAGCCAGGAAGAAACACCAAACCTAAAACTTTTTTTTTTTTTTTTGCTTTTTAACTCTTGAAGAGGAGTACAATTCCTACTTTTTCCACAAGGGGGAAACTGAGGTCTGGGGCAAGGGTGGGTCACCCTTTAGTAGCAGATCTTGAGGCCAGACTAGCTTTTCCTGCTGGGGCTTGGGGTAGCCGGTGGGTCTGGGAAATCTTGAAGTTCAAAAACCTCAGGGGGGGGGTGATGCAAGTTGGGGAGGACCCCAAGGAGTAGAGCTCTGAGGGCTTGGGGGGGGAGAGGAGACACCTCCTTTTGAGGTGTCACTGTGTCACCCGAGGAGAAACTATATTATGAAAGTCACGGCTTCCCTAAAGGTTGAGTCCCACCTGTTGATCTTCATTCTTTCACTTGGGGGTTGGAGGGAGGTGGACGGGCTCCCCTTGGGCCGAGGCCTCTGTCTGCGCACCCTTGTTCCACCCCCAGCTCCTAGTGGAGCCCGCCCAGGCCACTGTGCCAGCCTCACCTGAGCGATCCTCCCCAGGATCACCTACGGCCCCAGCCCGACCCTCACCTGGCCATCTGTTCCCCAAGGACCAGAGACCCCCCCCGACACACCCCACCCCACCCCGACCCAACTTACCACTGCGGGATGGGCCCTGGGCCGGCTCTGAGGTCCGTGGAATGAGAGCGGCCGGGACTCCCGCAGAGTTCCCGGACGGGGTGAGGGTGAGTCAGGGCGGGCGGGTGTGCCCTTCCCCTGCCCGCCCCGCCCCTGGGCCCGCCGGGGCCCCGCCCCTCTGCCAGCTCCCTAAGTCGACCCCACGTCCCCAGCGCCACGCGATGGCCGCCTGGAAAGGAATCCTCACCCTGCCCGGTCCCAGGTGGACACTGTGGCCACCCAGAAAGCTGCGAAGAAAGGGCGTCTCAGAAATCAGTCCAGCTGTGGGGGAAACTGGGGACGCTCAGATCCTGGGATCTTCAAGCAAGGCATCTTTGGCAGGTGTCAGGAGCGGGTGGTAAAGCTGCCTCCAACCCCAACACCTGACCATCCAGACCCACCTGGCCCACAGGTGACCCCGGTTCCTGCTGGGAGAAGGAAGGAGGGGCTTCTTGGGCCAGGCCTGGTCTAGCCAGAGGAAGCCAACCCTGCGGGGGGGGGGGGGGGGATGCTAGCTCATCTGTCCCTGCCTTGGGTTCAAGGCTGCCCTAGAGAGGAAGTAGAACAAGGCATGCCAGGGACTTGGGACCCAGAGGGCTCTTTGGGAGCCAGGATGGAATTTCCAGCTGGGGATTCCACTTCTCAGACTCCAAAGGGGCCTCCTTTCTGACACTCTGGCCTCTCTTCCACCCAGAGAGGCCCAGGCTGGGTAACAGGCCAGTCAGCCAAGTATATATAACCCAGTTGAACCTGGGTTTGAACCCACACACATGACAAACTTCTTCACCTGGAAGAGGTAGAGGAGCAAGCAGCTCCTGGGAAAGAGAGGCATGTCCCAATCTCTGCCACTGGAAAGAAAGCGTTATCATTAGGACCAGAACCCTTTAAACCGGGGCTGTCCTGCATAATACATCATTCTTTTCTTTCTGGTGCTGTAGATCAAACTCAGGGCATTCTGCAAGCTATGCACCTGCCCCCCACTGAACTAAGTTCCAGCCCTTAAGGAGCACTTGGTGTTTGCCACCTTCTGAATTTATATTCCTTGGGAGAAAATTCCCCCCCTTTTTTTTTCCGGTAGTGGGGCCTGAACTCTGGGCCTGGGC